AGATGTGTATAAGAGACGAGTCTATAGGGTGTTCAATGATTTGGGATCAAAGGTCATTAAGGGGTAATTTTTATCTGTTTATCTGGCAACATTTGAAAACGCTACTGGTGCCAAACGATTGGGCCGATTTCAATCAAACTTTAGGTCAGTATAACCAGTGACACCTCCATACATGGGTTGTTCACCTGTCTCTTATACACATCTAGATGTGTATAAGAGACAGGGCCGGCCCCCACCCTAAATCCGCCCCTGCAAATCTTGTAAAACTAAAGTTAAAAATTGAGGGTTTAGGGCCTAAAAATGAATATTTTCCCGTCTCAAAAATTTTGCCGTCTAGATTTTCTAGAAGGGATTCATCCCCTCTGCCCATGCTCAGAGTTATATAGGCCTAGTGCTTGTCTTTCGTTGAGAGGTAAGCAATTTTATTTATTTTGCAATTAACAAAATGAGGATGTGTCAGGCTGTAAAATATTCCCCGCAAAAAATATTAGGCCCAGAAATCTGTCGCCACATTTCGAAAATATGTGCCGATTTCCACAAATATTTTGCAGAAAATTGAGGGCTTGATAGTAGGAACACAAGTATTTACGATTCTCTGCATCTCCTTTTCTAGAGGTTTTCCTGTGCAATTTGAATTAGTTTTTTTTTTGTATCCTCCGGAAAAAAAAAAAAATTAAAAGAAATAAAATAAAATACATTTGAAGTTAGTATTAGAATTGATTAAGATCTGCAAACGGGTACAAACATAAGGTATTGCCACCCCCCTCCCACAAAAAAAAAAATAAATAATAACGTCATAAAACACAGTCCTGTCAGCGTGTGGCTGAGAACTCGTGTATCGTGGGAATCAACCATGCCTGAGAAATTTTTAGTTGCAGTTGTCGTTTTAATTCTTGCAAATTAAAAAAAGAAAGAAAAACATTTTTGCGTGATCAATGCAGTATGCATGTTGGCCTTTTAATGTTGTAGGGCCATAGCAAAAATACTTTTTAAAAAAATATATTTTTTTATGATTATTGCACGATAATATGTGGCAAAGACAAGCCAAACCAGTCACTCGTCTCAAATCATGTTTCAGAGAAAATGGCTAAAACATGCCGGAATATCAAATTTTTGAAAATCTATTTTATTGCACTAAACTAACCTTTACATATCTACACATCATTCTATGCTGTTATTTTTCCCCATTTTCAATGTTAAAACAATACTTTTTAAGAATTTAAAGATAGTTTCTGCATGAGAAATGCCTGAAATCATAAACTTTGATGGTTAATTTCTCATATATTGTTCTTTAAACAGCTGTGTGGTTAAACGCTTGTAACTTCATAAGGAAATGTCCGATTTGAATGATGTTTTTACCATTTTATAGCTATTATTTTACTCTCCAACACTGTATCAATAACTCAAAATCGATTTTTGCGACGAGTGACTGGTTTGGCTTGTCTTTGCCACATATTGGGACAAGTAAAATTGTCTTCAGGACAAGTGCATTTTTCAAAGGTACTTGTCCGGGGACAAGTGAAAAAATATGAAATTCCCTCATGCCTGAGTGTTGATCAAACTTAACATTAACAACAAAACAATCAGAATAGGGCCAGGAACACATGTGTTTGCACTCGTGTTAAACCACAAATGTGTGTTCTCCCAAATGCACTTGTGTGCATGTTTTTACACTGTCGTTTTGTCCCTAGCAACAATTGGAGGGACAGGGCTATAGCTGGAATCATCCAATTTGGTTAAAAAAATAAAAGGTAAAATGCAAGGAGCCTACTTTGCAATGACATCCCGTACATTTCGAGCAAATAACTTAGCATCCTTCTTCTCTTCGTCATTTGGTTTGTAAACTGGTAGAAACTCAACTTCCAACTCGTTATTCCAATTGCAGAATGTTAACCACAAACATGTTAATCTGGAAAAGAAACAGATATACCTACAGTACACGAATACTAACAAGATAATAGGAATATTTAGTACCATGTAAAAGACATTTATTCTGTTTTTGGTAATATGTAATGTTAACTTTATGTTCACATACTTGAATAGCATCTTCAAAATGACTGAACAAAACAAAATAGAATTGACACATGATTTTTAATATCATTCCATTTTCAAATGAAACCAGAATTAAATAATTGTTAACATGGAATTTAAGATATATCATGATCACAAAATAACACTTTCTGACATAAATTGAATTAAATTGAGTTGAGATGGCTAATGTTTGAGTATATATTGAGATGATATTAATCTAAGATGGGAGAACAGTATTCATCAAAGTATATAGTCATTTCCAAACCTTATGCCTGAAAATTAATCATGCCTAAATATTATATTTGGATTTGTCTATGTATATTCATAAATGCGTACCATGGCAAGTAAATTGTATTTACCCTCGGTATCAGTAAAATCTACTGTGTATTTAAATTCAAGTTCAATTAGCTAGGATAAAGTTTTCAATGCAACCACATATTTAGAATCTATAGATTAATGAAAATGTATACAAAATGTGTATAAATTTTAAGCACTCACGCATTTGGACCTTCCCAAGTCCATATCACTGTGTCAGGTTTAGTTTTATAATGCAAAGCAACAGGCTGTACTGGTAAGCCTGGGTAAAATGCTCCTGTTTAAAAGAAAATACTATTATTAGATACAACAATGTGTTGCGGGAGGTGTTGTTACTGGTAATGATGATATGTTCTTATTGCTAAATGTTGCTGCAATGCTTTGATGCTGTTGCTCATGATGTCGTTGATGTTCTATTGTTGTTGATGCTGTTTTTGACGCTGCTGTTGCTACTGCTGTTGTTGATGTTCTTATTAACCAGTCAGCCGCAGGCAGACTGGGTTATATTTTCTTAGCGTTCTTCTGATTCTTCTTCTGCTGGCAACATTTCAAAAGGCTACTAGGCCAAACAGTTGGGCCAATTTGTACCAAACTTGGTTAGTATAACTGGTGACACTTCCCATACATGGGGTGTTCCACTTGGGGTCAAAGGTCATGGTTTATTAAGGTCAAAAAACCAATAATCATATGAAAGACTACTTCTATTACAAATAACATAGCACAGTCTTGTCCTTTGCACATATGCATTGGCAGAAGACACGAGTCTATAGGGTGTTCAATGATTTGGAATCAAAGGTCATTAAGGGGTAATTTTTATCTGTTTATCTGGCAACGTTTGAAAACGCTACTAGTGCCAAACGATTGGGCCGATTTCAATCAAACTTTCGGTCAGTATAACCAGTGACACCTCCATACATGGGTTGTTCACTGCTTGGGGGAAACGATTACACAGGGATCATTAGGGTAAAAAAAAAAAAAATCATATCAAGACAACTTCTCCCACAACTACCACAACAGAGTCTTGTCCTGTGCTTGTGTTGATGTTATTTTTGCTGATGTTGCTGTTAAACTGCTCTTGTTGAAGCCATTTCTCTTGATAATGCTGCTGCTGCTGTTGTCTGCTTTATGCAGATGATTATTGTAGCTAGACAACATGGTTTTAGTACTTGCAGAGCAAGAAACAAAATTAGAATCCAAAGAAACTCCCTTCAATGATTTTATCTCTATACAATGGATCAAAAAAGGTAACCATAAATCTGGCTAGGCCTTAAGTAATAACTATTAAAAGATTGTTAGCGTAATCCTTTACAATTCTAAAAGCACCTAGTTAGGCTAGCTATAGCCTACTGTATCACTTTAAAGGCAACAGTTTGGAAGCTGAACAAGAAGGTGCTTGACCTTTAAAGCATACAATTATTTTTTTTATTTCCATAATCTAGAGGGGATTGCACTTAGATTAGAATTGAATAATTGCATTAAAAAAATTGCCTTCAAGCCCGGCAATTTTTTATCCATTACTTCAATACCTTAAAACCAATTCTCATCTACTGAATAGAATATCTATTCTAATTGATTACTATTATAACATTTTTATTATGGATAAATTAATGAACGAATGAATAATGAACATACCTGGCTTAAAGGAAATTAAACAGGTTCTATTCGCACAGGTGCCTTCTGGGAAAATTAGAATCTGCGGCCATTCACTACCAGGCTGAGAACGCCTTATAATCTCACGGACAGTATTCTGGCGGGAATGAGGGTCTGTCCTTGACACAAAAACTGGCTGCAAAGCACGTACTAATACTAAAGGGAGGAGTAAGTTTCAATATGTATGAAAATAGGTAGATAAACTTACAGCTAGCATACAGGTAGTTCATTTTTATATTGTAGGAAAAATTGATGAATCCCTACGTACAGTAAAATAGCCAAAAAGAAAAGGCAAGAAAAGTGCATAAAAAAAAATATAATGTATGTTACTGATTCTATAATCTTTTACAATGCTATGCTGTTTTTTTCTGTTTTATTAAATTATTGCTACCAATGGGCAAAAGATAAAATCACATTTATATGATGAATGACAATGACAATGAAATAACATTAACATAATGACGGATATTAATATTAAGAAAAATGCTAGCATAATATGGTAATACAAAAAAGAAATGACAATACAAGAGATGCATACTAAATATAAGATACAGGCCCGTAGCGTGACTTAATTTGTGGGAGGTTCATTTCAGTGGAAAGTGGACTCTTATCTTTAATACTCTGGAGAACATTGTAAATATATCTACGAATATATCAATTTTTCGTTTTTAAATGGGCAATTCGTAGAAACCACCTTAACCCCACTACGCTACGGGCCTGCATTAAGATACGCTGAGGTACTATACAACTAGCGATACCTTGATTTTACAAAATTTAATTGTATAAAATTATCAATTTGTTGATTTAAGGCAATTTAAAGTTATTCATTTATAATTACTAGGGCTTTTTTTTTTTTTTTTTCAAAAAAAATTCAAGGCTTATTTGCTTTTCAACCATAGTAGAAAATTGGCTATTCTTGAATAATTAATTCAACATTTTTATTTCTTGAATGTTACTCATTTTTGCATAAAATTAGAGTAATTAACATTTCACCAGAACTTATTCTTTTTTTTTTGCATTTCCACACAGATTCACCCACAAGAGAAGGATACAGTATAATCCACATGAACCTGGGCGAGGTCATCTAGATTAATGAATTCAAATATACCACAATTTAGTACAGAATTTTGTTTTATACGATAACGACTAGGTGTTACTCAGGGAAAATATTAGTCTAAATTGACATAAATGTTCAGCAAGCCTGCATTTTTACGGCTTTTTTTTTTTTTTTTTACAAAAAAAATTCAAGGCTTATTTGCTTTTCAACCATAGTAGAAAATTGGCTATTCTTGAATAATTAATTCAACATTTTTATTTCTTGAATGTTACTCATTTTTGCATAAAATTAGAGTAATTAACATTTCACCAGAACTTATTATTTTTTTTTTGCATTTCCACACAGATTCACCCACAAGAGAAGGATACAGTATAATCCACATGAACCTGGGCGAGGTCATCTAGATTAATGAATTCAAATATACCACAATTTAGTACAGAATTTTGTTTTATACGATAACGACTAGGTGTTACTCAGGGAAAATATTAGTCTAAATTGACATAAATGTTCAGCAAGCCTGCATTTTTACAGCACGATCGATTCAACATCGGTACTTGTACTGTAATTGCTCATTACACCTGTACTTTACATGCAGGTTCACTTTGCCCGTCTAGTCTATTTCTGATATTCAAACCGAAAATTCCACACTGTGTACAGTAAATTTATACCACATTTAGGTACAATGTATACTTTATGATCTGATAAGGAAGACAGTAAAGGCAAACTAACTCTCTACTCATGGTTGCATATTTTAGAAACAATAATTGAAAATTCCAAGAAAATACAATCCTCAATTATACATAACTTCTACTTTTGTACTGTACAGTTGATAAAATCAAGGTTTCACTGTAGCAATAACAAAGGTTAATTTAATTACACCACTTACAAAATAAAACATATAAAAAATTAAAAAAAAAAATATTTTACAATATATTGGAAAAGTTAGAGCCCCTGCACCACTTCAACATGTATACAGAATGGAAAAGCATAAAATCATATAATCAAGAAATAAAAATATATATTATGGAAAGATGGGAGAATATGGAAATCAAGAATTGCTAAAAGCCTATACAGTTACGCCAGACACGTACTGCATCACCGTCATACGACTGTCAGCTGAATAATTCAACTCTGCTCTCTGAGCGCTTGACGATGCAACGTCATCTGCTGATCGCTAATGACAGACTGAGCAGATTGTCATAAAAACAATCCATCTCATGTTGCTGTGGAATTGCATTGGCGGATGACTGTCAATGCAGTACAGTATGTGCCCAGCTCAATATCTTAATATAAGATTCATTCTAGTACATTAGAAATATGTCAACCTAGACAAGATCAGATCCTCCTAATTCCAAGATCTTACGAAATTGAGACCATATTTTCAAAGTACAAACTACCACGGAATAATAATTATAATGTGAGTCTTACTTGATAATAAAGAACATAACTAGCACTCTGTCTATCAGTAACGCAGCACATTAATTTTGCTCTCTAACTTTTAGAAACTCGTTTTCTTTGATTTTTGTATTAAATAAGCTAATTATTTAAACTAAAATTACATTTTTGGATTGCAACTCTTATCACATTATTTACAATTGTTGGTTTAATATCATCAGGCACAGTAAGCTAAGGTTGTGTGCTTGTTACTGGCATTTAACACAAAACTATACAAAGTATCATTTTCACTGACATTGTTTAACATCCTGATATTATAACCAATTTGTTTTCTTGCTAACAATAAATTCTCCTTGATCTTTTGATTCCTTTATCTGATCCAATGCAGTGAACAATGAACAGCCATTTTAATATCAATACTCAATAAATTTGCTTTAAACCATGAATTCCTTGATGTAGTACCAACATGGTGACTTCATTTTGATTATCTTTACAGTAGTTCAGATAAATAATACTACAGTACATATAGACACAAACATTTGCACATATATATATAAATCAACACTATATTTGTTATAATTTTAAAACACAATGAATGAAAAAAATTGCTTTCCCTTGCAATGTAATATAATAATAGTACAAAATATGTCATATAAGGTGCATGTATCTGTGTCAGAGAGCTGCTCAGAGCACCATTTTCCACTTGCAAAAAAAGGTCAGTCAGTTCTATTTTCTTTTTTCTTGTTTAGATTACATATTTTGTTAAATTTTTTTAGTTGTATTTTAATTACTAAATTACAAGCAATGAAACTGCAGGTCAAATAATGCAAATAAAAAACTCAGGAATCGCCCACCTACCAACACATGCAAGGGTTTCAAGTTGGGAGAAGCCACTTCCAGGAGATTTATTATGAGCTGTGTATCGTGATACCAATTACAGTTAGTAAACACATAAAAATAAAATTAATTTGCAAAAAAATGGGTTAGCATTAACAAATATAATGTTCACAAGTTTTTTGTGGTTTAATTCTTGTTATAAAGTCAATCGTGACTTCATCACGGCAACTCCTAATGTTATTTGCCTATTCCCCACGTCCACTAATTTTTCAATTAGTGGACGCTTGGCTTGATTTTTTTAGGTTTGTGTGCAAAAAATTTCCTCATTTTTTCGTCACCGCAGACATCGTGCACCTCGATAAAAATTGAATTGTAATTGAAAAATACTTTCGTAAAACAAGGTTAATTAGAACCCAAAGAAAATTACTTTAAATATAATAATAAGTATGAACAATAAGAAATTCCTTGAATCAATGAACGCTATTAATCTAAACAAACTGAACGTTTAATAGGAATATTCTAGACCTATTTTAAAGACTCAAGGAACGAAATTAGATGTAGAGCCGCCGAGGCCTCCTACTACTACTAGCCTAGGCATAGCCTAGCATAGTTATGAAATCATCCCAAGATTTTTACCTGTCTGGCGATTGACTTATAAAGCAATTAGTACGTCACCATGCATCGTACCCTAGCGGAAAATTATTAAACTTTATAGGTTAGATTTAATGCATTCAAAAATTTCCTTCGGCTTGCAGGCCCTCAGGAAATTTTTTCAAGCATTAAATCTAACCTTCGTATAATAATTTTCCTATAGTGTACTATGCGGAGCTCTATTAATTGCTTATTAGTTCAACTATCTATGTCCATTGACGTTTACTAGCATTTGGTCTTGAAAACTGACAACTAATAATTTACCACATATATTTTTTTTAAAAAAGAAAGGAGGAAGAAAGAAAGAGGGTAGAAAAAAAAAATGTTGAAAACACTGCATGTATACCTACCTCTATAACGTATTCTACAATCATTATTGATTGGTGTCAGTCAGTAAGAATTCAATCCAACTCGGCCACAAGTCAACTCGGTCACAGTCAACTCGGGCCACAAGTCAACTCAGCAACAAGTCAACTCAGTCACAAGTCAACTCGGCCCCAAGTCATTTATGGTACCACACTTTGACATGCTGTTACTATCCCATTTACCAGCAAACCAGCATTCAGGCGTGTTGGTGAACCAGGTTTTGCCAGAATCTTATCTCAATAATCCAAATAAACATCAAAGAAGAATACCTCTACTTAAGAGTCATTATCACAGCAGGCATTGCTGTTTCTCAATAAATTATCAGTATAGTATTTAAAAACCAGGCTGAAAAATGTTAAAAACCTGTTGTTAAAAAAAAATTGGCATTTTTATTACCTTAGCTATAATTTCAGATAAAAATCATAATAGATATGCTTTTGAATTTTAAAAATCAATGACTTATCTTAGAAGTTACAGCATGGTTTTTTATTTAATTGTGCTAGTCTTCTTATGAACTATTCACAACTAATGAGCTTCATTGTTAATCTTGTTACAAAATTCCCTGAAGAGGTAATTAATAGAGATAAGAAGAGATCAGCAAAACCTGGTTCAAAAATTGAAAATTGAAAAAGTTTCCTCATGAGGAGTAATTCATCAAGTATAAAATACTAATTCTTTAAGTATTACTATACTTATTGTTATTATTATTGCTGTTATTATTGTTGTCATTGCTGTTATTATTATATTGTTGCTATTATTATATTGTTGTTTTCATCACCGTTAGTTTTAATTTTAATTATTAGTCTTAGCATTAACATTTTGTATTGTTTAAATTTTTGCTATTATTATTATTGTTACCATATAAATAATTCTCCATAATCGAATTTTTTTATTCATATTATTATTAATATTATTATTATTGTTATTATTATTATTATTAAATTTTAGTCTTAGTGTTATTATTTTAATAATAGTAATTTTAAAAATATTGTTATTGGTGTTTGATTGGTATTTTTCTCATATTATTATTATTATTAATATTATTGTTGCTGTTGTCACCACCTTTATTATCGATATTATTACCCTAAATATCAAAGTAGGCCTAGTATTATAAGTATCATCATTATTACTATACTAATTAGTATTACTATTATCATAAAAATAAACATTATATTTAATTTATTATTGCTGTTATTATTGCTATTATCACCTTCAATATCGTTATTATCACTAATTAGTATTATCAAAATAGATATTTAAATATCGTTATTAATACCATGTATTATTACTATTAGCATTGTTAATAAAATAAATATTACTATTAATATTGTTGTTGTTATCACCTTTATTATCGTTATTATGACTAATTAGTATTATTAAAGTAAATATTTAAAAAGGAATTGTCACTGACACGTCACCGGTGATTCACGTCATTGGATGCATCCTTGTCACTGACGGGTTTCAAACATAGCCCCCAACGGTCGAACAAATATGAAGGACTGAAGCGAAATGTCTGTCACTCAACAATACCAATTGTTCCTATTGTAGATAATTGATACTAGATGCTATGCGCCCCACCTAATTTTAACGTAGGCCTAATTCTTGTGCGTGGTTCTAAATAAAATAGTTTGAAATGCACGCCATCGTGCATTCATTTGAATTGTCAGATTCAAAATAAATTTTTAACATTTAAAAAATCATAATGTGGTTTTTCTATTTCAATTTTTTATGGTTAGGTCTACAGTATGTACCCATGTTTCATGTCAGTGTTTTAACATGAAAAAAATTAAACATTAATATGCGTTTTTCTTTATTATTAAGATTGCTTAAATTGTTAATGTTACATTATTGTCAGATTTTATTCCATTCTGTAAGTGGCGGGTTTTCTCTGTTGAATAAGAGTACAGTGTGAAGAAATGAATACCGTACAAAGATCTCACAACGATAATCAGAATTTTACTAAAATGTACTGTGTACTTCATTTCAATCATATTGAAGAAAAAGGATGCAAAAACTGAGTAATATTTACATTTCATTTTAATTATAAATAACTTGTGACCGAGTTGACTGTAGCCGAACTTTTTGTGGCCGAGTTGATTTGTGGCCAAGTTGACTTGTGGCCGAGTTTACCTACTTCCGTCAGTAATTGTATACCAAAATGATATTATAATACGAGTTGCACATCATAATAATCTGGAACCTGATCATTAGGCACACACAACCAAAATTTACTTTGTACGTATTTTTTTCCACAAAGAATGCAAAAGATGCTTTGGTCTACGTCTGATTAACCGATAGGCCAGTCAGCACCTGGATGTAAATTTGGTGTATTATATGGTGTAATTTTCACGGGTTTGAAACATAAACAAAATACCTACTTCCAAATAAAGGTGCTTTCCCATTCTCTTCTCGGGACACAACGCTAGAAGACTCAAGCCCCAACACGAAAACAATAATAGCATCAAAGAAGGTGGTGTGAGGTGCGATAATGAAAATAGGAACTTCTTCACAAGTTGCTTTTTTACCCTTCACTGAAATATAGTGAAAGCCCATAAGAAAGAACTGGAAGCGTCCAAGCAACCAGAGGGGGTACAGCAACATTCTGGAATGGAGGTAGGAAAGAGGCAAGTCAAAAGCAACAGTAAAAATGAGGGCAGAAACTATGATTTTAGCAGGAGGATAAATGGAAAGGTGGAATATGTATAATCAAACATGGCAGTGACTTCAGGATTAAAATGAAGAATGTTTGGATCAATTTTTGGAGTCTATTTTTGTAAAGGCATATGTAGATAAGTTAAAAAATTAATATTTAGTAATATGTTTACATTTATAGCATGAATCTTGCAAGTGGAAAATGGTCTTTATGATTAGCTCTTTATGAGATGGTTACTGTATGTGCACCTTTATGATAACCATAAAATAAAAGCAAAACATAGATTAGGTAAAAATTTCAATTTCATATTATTCATAGCTTTAGGTAGCTGCAGCAGTTCATTGTGTTATTTGACAATTTTAATGTAAAATGAGAACAGAAATTGACCTTTATTTTGAAAAAAAAAAATACACATATTCCATAGTGTAACTTAACAAGCTATTGCTTTATAAATGGATTTCAGTCAAAGCAACAGGAAAATATGATGGCAGAAACTGTTTTATAGCAAAAAGCCAAAAATGGGAAGGTGAAATGTTGATGTAGAATAAGCCACATTGCTGACTGTTGTAGAGTTAAATAGAATTTAGACCTACCATTGTAGACATTTTCATAATTACTACAGTGGGCGAAGAAAATTTCCTTTGGTAATATAACATGATTTCAATAAAAATGTTTCCTAAATAATAATAGAATATGAAGAAAAACAAGATTTATGTTGCAAAAGTTGGCGTTAGTCAGCATTTTTCACGCACAAACAATCTTTGGAAAACCCCACATTGTTTCCAAAACACTATCCTAGATGAATTGCTTTAATTTCATTTTGTATAATCAAGCTAACTTTACTGTATAGCTCATACTGTACATTTCATTGGTCAATTCAATTCGGTAAGTGGTGCGGTAGTTTTTGACTACTTTCCTGAGCGTACAAAATATTGCTAACGCACAAAAAAGTACTAAGCAAACACAACTACCGCACTACCAACTACTGTACATTAACCATATGCAAACTGTGTAATTTTACCCTCACAGATCGTAATGGCAAATGTAGACGGACAGTTTGCTGTTTAATGAGGTATAATAAAATAAATACAACATTCATTTTGCTAAAGCAGTTCTATTTCTCTCACTGTTGGATGGTTGGGACTACCTCCCTCTGCTTCATGTCAGCAAATGGTCCCAATCATCCACCAGCTCTGGAAGATTTCCTTATCACTATTAAAATAAAATGAGCTTTTACAAGCTTAATTGATTGGTTTTGTTCATCTGCCTTTGAATTTCACTGACAAAATTTGTAGGTTGTCCATTATAGAAATTAATTTTAGTATAAATTAAAGTTAAATCATATGTTGTATAAAGACTGTCAATTTCTACATGTCCATCAAGTAATTAACACTTTTTCTTGAGTGGAAATTCCTAAAGAAATGTGAAGGCTTGTTTCATGGAACCAACAAAAATACATAGAAATTGCCTGTAAAGTTTAAAGTTTTATTTATAATGGTATTATTTATGCATTTAAAATTCAGAATTCCTAAAAACATAATACATGGCAGCAAAACGTCTAAATTGCAAATTATGTGCTTAAATTAGAGCAATGATGAGCATTTTACACTTTACTTTTTTTCAAAAAAATGATAACTCCATTTTTGTTTGTGACATTTCCGTAATTTTCTCATGTAATTAAAATCCATTCTAAGTAGGACCCTGCTGGTAACGTACATACTGTACTTCTTAATATTATTAATATTTTAAAAAGGCAATCAATACTATACATTACTTATTCTATTCATCATCATCTTTCAGTACTGTGCATAATAACCTCTATTATAAATAGTACATTTGCACAATATTTTGTAGTACAGTGTGTGAATAGTATTGAAGTACAGTGCGTGAAACTGAAACATTTGTACACAAAGGCTCTGAAACCAAACAAGTGTGCGCTTACAGTTGTTTTTCCAATTTTCAATCATAAGCCAATGGTTTTATTATCTTCAAGAGTTAAACATCAGGAAGGTCATCATATGTAACTATGAATTTTAAATCTAAATTCTTCTTTCACATTTTAATGTGAAAGAAGAATTTAGATTTAAATTCTTCTTTCACATTTTAATGTATTCGAATATTATATTTTATTTTTATTTTTTATTACTGTGTGTACAATTTTTTATATTTTTAATATTCAATAATTTCCGCTCTGCTTTTTCTTTTTAAAATTCGACAATAAAACTAAATTGAATTGAATTGAATTAAATTGAAAATATGAGAAAAAATAATAATTTCAGAGGATTATGATGTCACAAAAACACTGGAGGCAACTGAAACACCTATCCTCTATAGGCAGACAACACAAGGTGATGTAATATTTTATAAATTAGAATAGTGTACTCTACTAGCTAAAAATATATATTCATATTTTTTTATTACAGTAGTAGAACACATGTACCTGTAGAAATAAAGTGAACTGTGTGATGGATGAGCTAATTAATTTGGCTCCTTATATGAATGTTAGTTTTCCCAACCATAGAGCCTTACAATTACTCCATGTTACTGTATATTTTAAAGCTATCTGTAGCAAGTAATGTAAGACTACAGACCAGGGGTTTAGCCAGAAAAACGAAATACAGTAGGTTGTCCAAAATGGAAGCCATAGGCGGACCATGCCCACTCAGGGTCACACCCACCTTTGGGAATCCCCACCGAATATTGGTACAAAAACAACATGCACTCAATCGATGTTGTTTTTATCATATGATTTAGCTTTAGTTTAATGTAGCATTCGATGGATTTTTAAGAATATAAAGAACTTGCTAAAGGTAGACCAGGCCCAATTAGGCTAGGCCGACCTGATTAGGCCAAGCCGGCCAAGCCGTCAAAGTAAAAGTTGCCGTCCTAAATAATTGCAGGCCCGTCCTAAATAATTGCAGGCCGTCCAAAAAGATGGCCAGACGGCTCGCTGGCTAAGCCTATGCTACAGACACAACTTGTTGAATGTAATATCATGGCCAAGAAACTAAATCTGGTATTATAATATCAAATTAAAATAAAAATTGCAGCCACCCAGTATCACATTTTTAGGTATAAATCAGAAAATCTAATTAGTGTTTAAGAATAGGGATGCGGGCGTTCAACATTTTGGAAACGCGCTCTGAATGTTGGTTCTGATCTGATGTGAATGCAGCTTTTCCTTAATAGTAAAGGTATACCTGTCTCTTATACACATCTAGATGTGTATAAGAGACAGAATATAGTGTATTCTTTTTTTAATGTATTTCAAAATCTAGTATTATGTTATGTTTTTCTATCATCAACTACAAGACTAAACTTGCTTAAGCTAAAAAACAAAAAAGGAAAACAACAGTTCCAATTTTTAATATGGGATGCAGTTTCATTTTTTGTTTTATATGCAAGGAACATTTTTACAATATGATTTATAAATTCTTTCACAAATCAAATATTGTTCTCTACTGTACCATTTCTTGAAAAATCATTCCTCATTCTCTGTGTGAGTCAAATTTGTATTTCATTAAAATTACATTTTGTTCTTGCAATACATAATTTGAAGATATTTTTACATATTAATGCAGTTTCCGAATACAAAATGTCTGCATATTTAAAAGGTTCAAATTAGAAATTATGTGATTTGTATAAAAATACTTCATTTTACATTTTTAAAATTCGCCCCTAGAATCATGGGTTGAATGTCAATCCCAGCCAGCGATGAGGGCGTATCCCCATACTTCGGTTTGGGTGCTGGCATGGTATTCAAATTTCACTTCTTTTTATTTTGTGGTTTTGGTTTCCGTTCCATCTTTACACTTGCCTGATAGCGCTTAGAGACTTTTTGTATTTTGCGCTCTATAAATTAATAACCATTAACCATTTAAATATCAAATCAAATCAAATCAAATCAAATTTGTTTTCTTTCTCTATGTTCGATACAAATGTACAGTAAAGCCCTATTTACGCTATCAAATTTTGTCACAAATTTGTTTGTGCCCATATAGGCATGATGATGTCATATTACATCCAAATATGGGTATAACATTTTTTTGTCATAAAATTTGATAGTGTAGACAGCAGGGAATAGTTAAATTACATGGAATGATCTAAAACTATTAAGGCGTGCTAATCCGATTAATTTCCTATTGTATGCTATTGTTCAAGTCAATTTAAATTCCTGCTGTGTTCTAGTTATTTCATCGTAAACGCGCGGTACCGACAGTTAGACTTCAAACCAGTTTTCTTTTTAAACTCTTTTTGTGTTTGTTAACAAATATACAGCAAGTTTACACATGACTGATTTGAGACAGTTTTACATATCTTATAAAAGTGTTCCCTAACTTACATGGCGAGATTTTCTAAGCAGAGTTTTAAATCAATTTCTGGTAAGTACTGTATATATGTAGTTGCAATGTGCCAAATTACTCACTTTTCCAGACTATCTATTTTGAAATGCTCGTCATTAAGGTTTTGATATTGTAAAAGATTGACATTTAATCTTAAAAATGCCGAAGATATCTTGAGCGAGCAATTGTGGCTACAAGAGATATTCACCCAATACTGAACCTATATTTTTGCGTTGGACACGTACAAAATCTGGTATGTCGGTAAACCAGAAAGTAGACCTTGGCCTAGCTTTCTCTCGTCATACTTGTGTTTGTATTGAGGTATTGTCCTAAACTGCATGTTGAGCCGGGTGGCGTACATTTTTAGTATTAAAAAGTCAATAATTTAATTAATATTTTATTATTATTATTAAGCCAAGGCCCTTATCTTAGTTAGGCTGCCCAAGTAAGGTTGTTTCATTTGTCACCTGTATCCCATTTTCATCCTTTTTGTTGTGATAGCAATTAAGTGATGATGCATACAGTTACAGTAGGAAATTGAGCCAAATCAACCTCAATAAGTTTTTTTAGCTTATAAATCACCTACGGCTAAAACAGTTTTTTTTTTAGTTTCATTTTTTTTTAAATTTCAGGTTGAAGTCAGAAATTGAAGACCAGTGAATTTTCAATAGGAAGCTGAAAATGAGCAGAGATGAAAGAGTGAGAGGTTGACTCTACAGCTAATCATTTTTACTTAATTGCGCTACTTAATCTCCCTCTCAAACAAAATAAGATTAGATGTAATTTAGGCCTACTGTATAATAAAGTGTAATGATTTTTCAACCTTTAAAAAATTAATCAAACCCAGGCTGTCATATGTTTTATCATTTCCACTGCAAAGTTATGTTTTCTTGCCTGATCCAAATTAAATTAGTTCTTTTCATTCTGATTTACTTTCCTTTCATTTTTTTGTTTATTTTATCCACTTGTGAAACCAGAGCTGCGTCACTGAAAGTGCTATTTAATAGGACAGAATTATTAATAAATATAACTGGTTTAGAAAACATAACTTATAATTGGATTGCTATTGCAATTAGATACAATATAATGGTAATTAGATACAATGTACAGGTAATTTTATTTTAAAAACCAAACAGGGAACCTCCAATGAATATTGTAGAATAATGTATATTTTATATTGTTAATAAATGTATTAAATTGTAACTCTTTTCCTCACATTTCATTCATGTTTTGGTGTTCTAAAAAGAAGTGTATTGCAGGGATGGGCATAAAAATAGGCCTAGGCCCCATTTATCGTTTCTGTATAACATTTAGGTGGTATGATCATGGTACATATGGTACGACATCGATCACCATGAGAACACGATGCAGGAAGTATTAGATCTTGTAGTTTACACTATAGCGAGCATGCGCAAAGCAATTGGGTCATAGTAATTAGTTGTAAATTGTTTATCAGTTGATTATGATAAGAGAAGCGGTATCGCGGGTTATAACCTTTGATGTTCGGGTTTGAGATGTTTCCAAGTAATTTAACTATTCCCTGCTAGACAAGTAGTATCCGTAGTTATTTCAATTGACAATTAATAATTATAAAAAAATTAAAATTTTAATATATATTTAATTTACCATTATTATATATAATATGTTATTTCAGTTGAATATTTCTTCTTTTTACTACTATACTGTATCTGTGGTGTTATTAAAAAACTGGGGACTTTAAATAAAAAACACAAGATAAGATTACAATCAAACAAATTAACACATAACAGAAACAAAAGGTCAAAGTATATGTTTAGATAACGGACATACTGTATAATGTTTTATTATCTATTGAGCGTGTCAATGATACAGTAGCATCATGGAAATTGTTATTACGATTAGGGCCAAATGTTTCGGGCAAGAACCTTTAGTGAATCCTCTCAATTTGTTTTAGAGATGCTTTTATAAATTTAATTAAACTTTAATGATGACAGAACATTGATTGCACGAGTATTTTTCACAAGCGCCAGAAAGGTGGATTCCCTTCAAATCCCAATTGTTTACAACTTGTGCAGTCCCATGATTTTCAGTCAGGCAGTATGCAAAACAAGCATTCATAAACCAATCAGCATGAGCTAGACTTTTAAAGTGTGATGTCGTACCCAAAAGCCATGTCTCTTTTGGCCAGCAACTGATGTGCACTCATTCTTGGTAATAAGCCATCTCCGTCAACTTGAACAAGACTGTGGTATAAAAAGGTCCGCTTGGACAAATTTTAAATTTTTTTATTGACTGCCGCACAGTCAATGAAACAGGACCTCCCCGTATTTTTGAACGTTCCCTTATCTTATCTGTTCATGAATAACGATATTTGGAATGATAGTGTCTTGACTTTTTATAGGTATAAATGACCCAGCATCAAGCAATAAAAATTTAACACTACATGACGCATGTAGACATAACCTGGATCGACTATATTATATTCCAAGTATTATCAATGCAGACTTTGAAGTAACATTACACTCCTTTAAACATGTGGTTGAGCACAACCTTGGCCACACTTCACTGTAGCTATGGTTTAACAACATGCGTCTCTCCATGAGCAACATCTTCAAATTTAAAAAACTATAAAAAAACAAAAATAGGCTTATTATGAAACAAAATTAAAGAAAATAATATAGAAAGCAATCTTAAATAAAATATTTAGGCAAAAACTCCTTTACTACATTTCATTTACTGAACGAGCTAGTCTGCTTTTTCTGACCTACTTTTTCGTACTGGCGGGGTACAAAGAGTCAACTGACTCTAGTGCCCGGTGACCTTTGAGTCTGCGTCTATCATGAGGAGTTTGGAATAGGGAATGTTTCTCACTGAATTTACAGTAGTGGACAGTAAGCATACAGTAGTTGTTTCTAGCAACTGGTAATGGGCCTATATTCATGAATTATTTTGTTCTTAACAGAGCATCAAAAGAAAAAGTAAGTAAAATGATTGTTTAATCATGTTTTTAAATGATAAAAATATTATAAATGAATATTTAAAAATTGTAACGTGGAATTAATGTGCATGCAACATTTAAATTAGTTGGTAAGTTTAATCTAAAAAATTATTTTACAAGCAATGTTTCTGATTTTTGCAATTTTTTCATAATAATCCATGGGCATAGGCTGGGGACAGTTGTCGAAAGAGGGGAGGAAATATAAAGAATCATGGTATTGAACTTATATGGGTGCGAAAAGGATGAGGAAGTATGTGCTCCTAAAAAACTTACTTGTGCTACCAAATGTTTTGTGGGGTGCCACAAAATTTTGGCAATGCTACGAAGAAAAAAAAAAGTTTCCAGCCCTGTCCAACAAGTGATAAAATAAAGCGTTAGTAGGAATATCAAAGGAAATGCAATTGCACCACATCAGTCCCAAGACTCCATTGCCCCTTGCCATAATAAAATTATTAGTATATAATGTTAACATGCAATCAATAAATACACAATAAAGTATGATGCAGTCAATGAAAAATTGACATAATTAACTAAAACTATCAGACACAGTGCATTTGTCAATGAGACAAGCACTTATTGATGAACACAAGAATTTACAACACATATCATGTGTTTTATGTTGAGAAAGTAGATTTGTAAAAAATATTAACAATTTTAGAAGTTAATTTTAAAATCATATTGTCCAGTCCAGCATCTTTTTGTTTCACAATTTCTCTTTATTTTTTTAAACTGATAATACACTGATAATGATATCTCTGTACTCCAAAACAGATTAAAATATTAACGTATGAAATCGGTGCCATTGTGATCATTGATGATGTACAGCACTATAAGCTATTTCAGCCTGGTTCACGTCTATCTAAAATCCTCATATATGATACGATAATCCCCTATTTGAGTTTGATGCCTTCAACATGCAGACAGCTACAGTAGTTGAACAAGTAACAAGTAACGTATTTATTCCCATAAATATCCTGCTTTGAATAAACACCCCCTCTGGAGCATCATTTGGAATAACCATCTCGCTCGAATAAAAACCACCTATCAATGACTGAAAACAAATCTAATGAACACAACATCATTCTCAACACATTCTTTAAATGTTAATTTTTTTTCAAACCTGGTTAGAATCTTTATGATCACGCAGTAACACATTTTGACAGTAATAAAAAAAAAAACCCTCCTTTGAATAAACGCCCCCTCAAAAATCTTAACAATAGGTGCGCCAGACGTTTATTTGAATAAATACGTTTACGTTAAGTAATTGTTATGTCAAGCGCCTCGAGGTTGTGTCAATGTGAGGCGCTATATAAATCCAGAATTATTATTATTATTATTTTTCTTAAATTTTATTTATTTTTTTCTATCCTTTATTTTGTTATTTGACATCACTGAGTTACCGATAAAGAAATATGTTACAAATACAGTATGCAAACAAATATGAACAACAAAAACTTTAAATTGTGAGAAGAGTTATTGCTATGGTTTCCTATAATTACCTTAAAAAACAGGCAATTACTACCAGTTTAAATGATAATGATTCATAAATATAACAATATCATGGGCAAATTGTTATTGTAAAAAGATAACACTGAAATATACAGTATCACCATCCTTGTATTGTTAATGTTACATTGTATCAGTGTCTATCAATGTCTACAATTTTCTCTCAAATGATCTGTGAAACTAAAAGGAAATAAAGTAGAATTTGTATAAATAGTAAAAGCAACTAACCTTCTCCATCCCTTCATTGGTTTAGTGGCTAGCTGTTGCTCTGTAAGCCCTCCCAGAGCAATTTTGGCAATTACACAATCCAATAGAAGAATTAGCATGACAAGTATTAGGCGGACGGGCGCTATTGTTACAGACATTATAGCAATCTGTTTAAAAAAAAAAAATTAATATTAAAAGTAGCATCCGCCTTACAAAAAAAGGCAATAACTTAAATTAATATCAGTTTTCTCAAAATGTCTTAAGTATAAATGCATAGTGTTTCATGAAAAGTTACAGTAGTTTGAATAATTGTCACAGTAGGCTTACTTAAACAAGGATACATTATACCCATCTGAAAACACAAATAAACTAGAATTTAATCATAATTTGAACGTAAATGTTTATGCCTCAGCCTTAAAGTTCGGCTCCGGAGGAAAAAAATTGTTGATATGTTGTAGAACTTATTTTTGTGGGACAGAAAAAAGCTGTTTGATGAAAAACTAAGCAATGGTGAATGAGATAGATTTTTATATAGTTAAAAACTGGGGGGAAAAATTGTAAAAATGGGCGGTTACGCCCCTTTTCCCCCACTACTTTAAATATTCAAAAATCTTTATCTCGTTCACCGTTCCCCAGTTTTTCGTTAAACAACTCTTAGGATTAGAAAAATCAGTTCTACAACATATCAAAAAATTTTTTTCCTCCAGAGCCTGACTTTAAACCACTTTTGGTTATTTAAGCCCATGAGCCAGTGAAATATAATTTAAAAGATTTATTTTTATCAAATATAATTCTTAGCACAAAGGCCAAGGATCCAAATAATATCAAACTATTAAAATCAGAGTGTACTAAGTGGTGTTAAGATAGATAGCGAAGTCTTGTGTAAAACAAAAAAAAAAAAATAATCCTGTTCCCGTGACAGGAAATGAACCAGGATCTTGGGAATGAAAGCAAGCATCATAACCAGTAAGCTACATTATTCATCAAGGTAGTCAAGATAAAAGTGGAAAGTATACAATTTCACAAATGCAGGGAAACATAATTTTTTACATGATTGGATGATTCACATGAACATTACTTGGAATAATGAGTAAAAAACATATACTGTAGTAGGTCATGGTCATAATTCAAAATGGACAACTACTTTCTGTAATTAAAAATGTTTTTACTGACATTTTTTTTTCCATAAGTGAGGATTTCATTAAATGATAGGTTGGTAATATTTATGAATACAGAAGTAGGGTCATTCCATGTCAAATTACCTAGAGGTCCCCAGGTGACACTCTTTAGATTTTGCTCAAAATCTACCAATATGTCACTTTTTATAAATAATGAACGTAAAATTTGGAAAGGGGAAACTAAGGCACATTTGGCGAGACTTTTTTCTTACCTTGTTTCGCAAAACTATTTTTCTAAAGATCATCAGAGTAGGGGGGAGGGGGGAAAAACATAAAATGATGTTTTCTCATTCATAGCAAATAGTTTTGCCAAAAACACCCCAACAGAATAGAAAATAAAAATAAAATTTTATTGGTGAATGTAAACATTGTATGCTTTAAATTTATATAATTAGGAATAGAAATATGCAATTTTTCTTTTTTGGATATTTTGGATATAAAGAAATACTGACTGAAATTTCCATTTTTTCGTGGTGGCAGGTGCTCTAATGAGCCAATACTAAAATTTAAATTTTATCCGAAATCATTATTCACGGGCGGCGGGCGGGTTCGCAAAACAAGGTATAAAAAAGATCTTGCCTAACAGAACAGATGGGAGTACAATATTAGAGAATGCCAGTCAATATGAGTGGATGCTACTTTGAGCCTACTTTGATGCCAGTTCAAGCGGATGCCTTCAGCGCAAATATACTGTAACAAATTTCAAAACAAATGATGAGATTTGTATTTTTTTTTTTATGCAAAAAAACTAACGTTTTGAAAGGTTTTTGGTACTTTTAATAATTTTTTCATTTTTAAATTCAGTCTTGACAAATCGGATCACAAGCTTGCGCCCTGCCCCATTGGATACAAAATATTAGGTCAAATTTTCATTCCATACATTTCAGTGTAGGAGGTCCAGGAAAATTGAATTAGGAAGGGGGAGCTGATAAAACATGTAGGTGAGGGAGAGAGGGAGGGGGTACTACCTCCAGCACAAAATAAGGTGATTTAAGGTACTTGTGCATGATTTTCATTCTTCAAACATTTTCAATGGAGCGGTGAATAAGGTTGTAAGCTTTACTGTATGGTGGCAAGGGTGGGGCATGCCACAACTGCTAGATAAGCCACTGCTAAATAGGCCTGGGCCAAGCCTATGTGTATGTGTTTAAATTATAAATAGAAGAAAACAGATAGTTATAGAAATTTGAATCCGAAGAGGGCGAAAAGTAGCCTTACAGGGGTGTAGAGTCGTTTCAGTCTGGGTCAATTCGGCCCCGGGTCGTTTTGGCCCTGAGTCGTTTCGGCCCGATTTTTTAATTTTTTGTCATGAATTTCGGCCGCTGTGTATGGAGCGCTGAAGGTGTCGCCACGAATAATAATTTAATAGAACAAGGCGGCTAAGCAGTATGTACCGTTTATTAACATGAAACTTTTACTGCAACATTATCAGATATTAACAATTCTCTTTAGTAGCATTTTATTATTATTATTATTATTATTATTAAGTCTAAGAGTTCACACTGCAGTATCAAATGGTGTTATCTTTCTGTTTACAGAAACAACGCAAATGTTACAAGTCGATGGTTTGGAGACACGTTTCTTTTTAGCGTTTCCATAGGATATATTTGGATCATGTTTATAAATGCTCCAATAAAATTTAGATCTACCGGTATTAAAATAAGTAGGTTTATAGTTAATTTAGCGGATTAGTTTTATTTTTTTTTTTTGTTTTTTGTTTTTTTTGTTGCATCTCCATTCACATTACCTAATGTTCTATTTATAACAATACATAGACCTATATAAAATAAATTAAAATATACTGAATGATGTGATAATGAAAATAAAACAAATATATTAATGTATTCATAAGGCCGACAAAATCACTCATTGCATAGAAATTAACTGAAGAAATTATTAACTACAGTATAATTTGAGAAAAGAAAGGTGAAGCAGACACAGGTTTTGTATCTTCTTGTTTATTTTATTTCCATTGTCGATACATATTTTGTTTAGGCATGTTTATAAAAAAATAAACAAATAAATAGAAATAGTAAAATATAGTTTAAATAAAATTTATAGGCCTACAATGTTAATGGTTGTTTCAGACTTCTTTTGACATTAAGCCGGAAATTTCACTCACAAGGCCGATTGTCGCATGGAAACTAACTATAAAAATCGGAAAGAAACGCCCACACAGGTTTCCACGATACTCTTTAGGGTGAAGCAGACATCCTTTGTATGCCGCCTTCAGGAATGTGTGGGCACACTACTGCATAGGAAGAGTGAAGTAGGTCAGATGATAAAATAAATTAGACTGGTGGCTATTTTTAGGTGCAGACACATGCCATGGCCGCAGTGAATGTGTACGCGTGTGTTCACCTCTTGTCTATTGTTCCGATTTGAAAAAAAAAAATTTAATATTTCATTTACCGTAAATGGACAGGGTCCCTGCCGGCAGGAGCGGATCCAGAGATGTCCGACAGGGGAACCAAAAATGGGGCCGAGCGAAATAACACCGCCCTAAAGCCGGTTTTCCACTAGGCGAATTTATTCACGCGAATTGAAGGCGCATGCACATTCACATTCCTATCGGAGTTTTTGCGTAGCGAAAAAATACGCAACTAATCAGAGCTCAGAAAGCGTATCGAAGATTTGATTCGCGCGAATAAATTCGCGCAAAATATTTGTTTTCTAGACAGAGGCTTGAATGTAACTTGTGAGGCGTTTTGGCCGATCATTTTTTCCCCTTTCTTAACTGCCTAAAAGGGTGACAAGGATGAGGACACCCTAGGCGCTGTGTAGGCCTGATCTTCATCCCCCTCCCCTTTCTTTTGACATCTCTGGTTCTGCCCCCAATGGATCCATATTTGCGATTTGGATTAGGATGATGTACTGTTTTCTTTGTAAATTCTAAAACGATGATAATGATGAAATATTGTTTGACGGTTTGCATGTTGAAGTAATGATGACGGTACAACGTAGATAGGCCTAGTTTTTTTTGTTTTTTTTTAAATGTCTAATTTTTTTGTAGATAAATGAAAATACTAGCCGCGTATACAAACATATAAAATTCAGATATATTTGATTTAACAATTAAAATAACGCAAAAAAAAAAACAAAAGCCTTTATTTAGGATCATTTAGAAATTGGTAATATATGTGCTGTCTTGTACACTTGACTTTTCACTACTGGGAAAAGCAAGAAAAATGAACATTGTTTTTGAATAACCACATACTGTACTGTAAAATTAATACTTAAACTAATTAAATATATAAACAATAACAATTGTAAAACTTTTTAAAAAAAGAAAAAAACAGAAAAGAAAAGTATTATGTATAGTCAGGGATCGTAAAAAAAGACAAAATAAATCATACTAAAACACACACACAAAAGAAAAGATCTTTAAAAATATAGAACCCAAATAAACCACAGTGCGTACTTGGCGCTCCATACCGCGGCTGTTAATTGAAATCGAACAATAGGGCGCGACCACTTCTGACCCGGGTGTTTCGGCCCAAAAACGGCCGAATCGACCCAGGCCGAATCGACTCAAGGCCGAATCGACTCAGGGCCGAAACAACCCGGAACCCCTTACAGGCATCCACTTCAACTAGCATTCGCTCTAAAACTCCAAGTGGAATCCCCTCGTATTGACTGGTTCCCGTACGTACTAAAGTCCATCATTATTTTTTGTCTAATAATCCTATGCCTAGAGCATACCCTCATCTTGTCAAACGTAGTTAAATTCAGTTGATGAACGAATGGATTGCGCACTTCAGGGTGGATTAACGACGAGGCGCGTTGCAATGAATGCCTAAGCCTAAGATTCCCGCTGGCCACAGCTGAACTCATGATGGTTGCAGATATAATAACTACTTCAATTTCAATATACAAATGTATCTTTTGAACCTGAAATGCTCACATATCTTCGACAATTATAGGCCTAGGAATGGCTAGCCTACATTACAATAACACCATCCTTTTCTAGCTGCAGATTCTCTGTATGTTTTGTTTTCAATACTGTACAAACGTATGGAACGCCGTTTGCGCAATAACTTACTTGATAATTTAAAAATCGAAGAAAAATACATTTACAAACTAGATTTAAACTCGTCACTGTGGACGAGTTAGGTGATCCGTCGCTAATCCGGCAAAATATAGTGAAATATATGAAAAATTACACTTTGATGACGAAGAAGCACGCAAGGCGAAATGGCCTAAAAGGTGCTCTAATTAATTTTTTGTTAAAAGAAGAGTATAATTTTAAGCATTTTACTAGAAAGGGCAGCAGACACCTTTTCTGAAACAACAGACAGTTACCAGTTGAAGCCAAGTGGTCTTCAACTAGAGAGGGCAGCAAACACTTTTTCTAAAATATCAGACACTAGTTACCGCCAGGATAGTGCTAATAACAAAATCCTAATGCGCTATACTGATTAAAGATAGACATGAATTAGCATATTTCCCCTGTATGTCGCCAAAGACGCAAGCACGGATTCGTATGTTTGGTACGCGCGTACTACATTGTTTTTGGCAATAAAATGACTAAAAAATAACGGAAATTTGTGAAAACAGTCTCAGGAGCCAAAACGTAATTTCTAGATTCAGTACGTGATGTACGCGTGAAAATGAGCGCACAGTTCAATTATGGACAATTTTGTAATGATAAAATCGACATGAAATGTGCTTTATTGAGATTGTTCAAATTTTCACGAACGTGCGTGTGGGCGGTAAAAACACGAAATTGAACCTTGTTTAAGTGTGATTTAAAACCTCCTTGGTTGGTAATGCCACACGCCGAATTTTCCTTTTATGAATAATTATATATTAGTGTGATAGCGTCGAAATACAGTCTGCCGCCCTCAATTTTATATTTTTTACATATTTTAAGAAAGAAAGATGAGAAGGCTCCAAAAATTCATCCTTTTTTACTATGATGGCGTCATCAAAATGAAAAATAAAAGGACACTTCCGAAAGAGAATTGTCTCAGCTATAACACACTCGCAGGTTGAAGACGATCGACCAAGGATAAGCGAGATACGCTCAAATGCGTATTTTCTAAAATGACGTCATCGATAAAATTCAGTTTAATTGCATTCGGATGGCAATATAATGCGTGCGTGAAAAGGCGCGCACGTAGTGAACAATATTTAAATGCTGAAAATAGCTTAAATATACGCTAATTATGTTTTTTTTTTTTAAATTTGGAGTATTTTAAAAAGATTTACTCATGCGTACGTGCACGTCATGACACACATGCGCATGTTAATGTCACAGAATGCTGTCTCCTGATATGAGATATATATGTATAACTTTAATTGACAAACGCCTGTTGGTGAGGGAGTAATTATCATTCATAATATTTATCATATATAATTTGTTTTCTTTTTTAGTTCCTATGCATGTAATGCAATAGCAACTATTGTAATCACTCTTCACATTTCTTTTGTTTTTTATTGTGTGTAGTATGTGTGTGCGTATGTGTGTGTACATTTATGCAAATGCGCATGCGTCAAAGAAAAGTTTTCCGACATTTTGTTTTACATCGCGATGCGAAGTTCGATGTGGATTTTCTGCAGAGTTCAGTCAGGGCTCACGCTAACCGTCGGCAAGTCGGCATGCATGAAACTATTTTGGTTTTACGGCAAAAAAAAAATCAACTGCTGTGGCATAGGTATTTTGAAGAAGGCCTAAAATAAAACGAAAAGGTTTTAATACTTGCTAAAATACATCGTTTTTTCATTTAGATCTCCATTTTTCACTAACTCCATGCGACGTTTTATTCTGTTGTATGAGTAGTCCATAGAGCTATTAAACAACTAGAG